GTTCCTAACTGTCAGGGTGGTTAAACACTGGAACAAATTGCCTAGGGAGGTTGTGGAATCTCCGTCTCTGGAGATATTTAAGAGTAGGTTAGATAAATGTCTATCAGGGATGGTCTAGACAGTATTTGGTCCTGCCATGCGGGCAGGGGACTGGACTCGATGACCTCTCGAGGTCCCTTCCAGTCCTATAATCTATGATTCTATGATACTAGTTAAAAGGTTTGAGAACATGCAAATTTACTACACTTGTCTTATAAGACACTCTCTTACATGTATAAAAGAGAATATGCACACTATCCCCCCCCCAAAAAAAAGCATATAACATCTTTCTACATTTTTTACCCTGTGAATCATGTGAAAGATCCTCTCATGGACTGCCTCCTTTCCAAACCTCAGAATCATAATTCCCCATATCAATTAAAGTGTTGCATGTAACAAGTAACATTAAAACTGTTCTAAAGTATAATTCTGTAAAAGTGATGGTAAAAATGGCAATGTAGGTTTCCATAGTTAATCTGGTTCTGTGTCAAATGTGTTCCGTTTACAAGTTAAAATAATTTTTGCCAGACCTGTGAACTCTACCTGTAAGCTCTGAAAATACTGTATGTGACAATCGAGGTTCTGCTGGCTAAATGATGCTTGTAGCAATCTAGTCTGCAATGTGTTTGTACAGGTGTAACTGATTGGAACCTGGTAAACCATTCTGATACGCAAAAAAACCCAAACCCCAACCTGATTTAATCTGTTAGTTGTGAAGTTTCTACATGAGAAGAAAGTAGTAAGAACTTTATATTTGAAACACTATGCAGTGAGCAGATGCCTTAAGTATGACGGTACACTTTTTTACGCCAACCCACACTCTAGACATGAGAAAAAATATGAAGGGTGCGGCTGCTTGGTTATGTGCCCTCACTTAGTATCGGTGACTTAGTATAAATCATTTCTTGCTGGTATGCTGCACTCGTGGGAGGAACACAAAGGGGGGGGACACATGACCTCCCCATGTGACCCTGCCCAGAGCCTGGAGCCCCTGTGCTCTCCCTGTCCCCTCCCCATGATCCACATCCATCCCACGTTAGCTGGGGGGGGAGGGCAGTAGCTCTGTCCTCCTCCCACTGTGCCGCAGACTTCTGCTGTACAGACCCCAAGCAGGAGGACTCGGCAGATGCAGCTGAGTGGAAGGGCTGGTGGCAGGCTCCTCCTGTGTCTTTCCAGTACGCCGTACCAGCTATAAATACGTTACTGGTACAGCGTACCGTATCACCGTACTTGCACCACTGCTTAGTATCCATGCTATTTATTTCCTTTTCATGGCCCCACTTTTTAATACAAAAGTCCTTGGGTCTTGTATGTCATATGCAACATAAATTGTGGTTGGGATCCTTGTTTTATGCACTTAGAGATAGTGAACTGGGCTTCAGTGCCGGAGAAAGATTTGATCACAGTCTAGAAGTACTTATCTGGGGAACAAATACTTAATTGTCTCTTACATTTTAAAGATTTGGCTCATAGTTGAATTTAAACCAAAGAAATAACAAAGATAGATGCAAAGCAAACATGCAGGATGCAGAAGTTCTTGATTTTTTTCTTTTTCTTTCTTTTAAATCAGCCAGAAAATCCTTTAGAACCCATAACAGTCCTGTACTAGGCTACAACAACCGGGGCACTATCTCTGCAGAACAACATCCACGTGTACTGCCCTTACTATAATTTTATCAAGTCCATTCTGAGCAGCATCTAATACATGAAGCATATTGTATATGGCTGCATATTCACAGGTTCATGGCTTTGATCTTTCTTCCTGGTGAGCAACAGATCTTTCAGATGTACTGTACAACTCTTTAAAAGATCCTTAGAGCATGACAAGTGATCCTGATCAAAGTGATTGTTAAAGACCAGTATTTCAAAAAAGTTCTCTGGATTCTGACAGTGCCACTATGTTCTCCATAAATCTATGGGGAGGCAAGGGTCTTAATTCTTTTATATAGAAAACCATCCCTGTGAACGGTAATTGGAAGTTGTTTAAGAACGCTTTATAGATGCTCCAAAAGCCACAATCAAGGAAGAAGGCAGTATTGGTTAGAAATCTGACCTGGTTTAGAGGGGAAGTGAAGACCGCTATAAATAATAATTAAAAAACATGGAAGAAAGGAGACGTAAATAGCAATCAATATAAACTGAAAGCTAGAATTTTTAGAAAATTTATGAGGGAAGCAAAGGAACACCAGGAGAAATCTATTGCTAGCAGAGTTAAGGACAATGAGTTTTAAAAAAGTATATTCGATACAAAAAGAATTCTGACAATGGCGTCGGTCCATTATTAGAGGCCAATGGTAGAATTATTAATAGTGCAGAAAAGGAAAAAGTGTTCAATACCTATTTATGTTCTGCATTTGAGAAAAAACAGATGATGTAGTCTCATATGAAAACACTCTTTCCAGTCCACTGGTATCTCGGGAGCATATTGAATAACTGCTATTAAAGATTTTTAAATCAGCAGGTCCAGATAACTTGCATCCTAGAGTTTTAAGAGCCATCAGAGGAGCTTACTGGAACTGGACTGGTAATGTTGATTTTCAGTAAGTCTTGGAAGAATGGGGAAGTTCCAGAAGAGCAAAAGAAAGCTAATGTTACGCCAATACTTAAAATTGGTAAACGGGATGACAAGGGTCAAGTATAGATCTGCCAGTCTGACATTGATCCCACGCAAGATAATGGAGCACCTGATATGGAACTTGATTAATAAAGAATTAAAGGAGGGTAATATAATTAATGCCAATCAACATAGGTTTATGGAATATAGATCCTGCCAAAGTAACTTGATATCTTTTTTTTAATGAGATTAGAAGTTTGAGTGATAAAGGGAATAGTGCTGATGTGATATACTTGGCCTTCTGTAAGGCATTTGTCTGGGTACTGCATGACATTTTAAACAGTGAGAAAAATAAAAAATTAACATAGCACCCATTAAATAGATTTAAAGTTGGGTAACTGATAGGTTTCAAAATGTAACTGTAAATGTTTAATCATCATCAAGCAGGTGTGTGATTCTAGAGGGGGTCCTTCAGGGATTAGTCCTTAGCCCTATGCTATTTAGCATATATTTATCAGTGACCTGGAAGAAAACATAAAATCGTTACTGATAAAGTTTTCAGATGACCCACTATTGAGGGAGCGATAAATAACAAAGAGGACAGGTCACTGATAGAGTGGTCTGGATTGCTTGGTAAATTGAGCGTGTGCAAACAATATGTGTTTTAATATAACTAAATGCACACATCTAGGAACACGGCATGTAGGCCATGCTTACAAAATGGGGATCTCTATCCTGGGAAGCAGTGACTGAAAAATATTTGAGGGTCATGGTGGATAATCAGCTGAATATGGGCTCCCACTGCGACGCTGTGGTCAAAAGGGCTAATGTGATCCTTGGATGCATAAACCAGGTAATCTCAAGTAGGAATAGAGGTAATTTTTACCTCTGTATTTGCCACTGGTGTGACTGCTGCAGGAATGCTGTGTCCCATTCTGGTGCCCACAATTCAAGAAGAATATTGAAAAATTGGAGAGGGTTCAGAAAAGTCATGAGAATGATTAAAGGATGAGAAAATCTGCCTTAGACTCAAGGAGCTCAATCTATTTAGCTTAACTAAGAAGGTTAAGGAGTGATATGATTATGTCTGTAAGTACCTATATGGGGAACAAATACTTAATAATGGGCTCTTCAGTCTAGCGGAGATATATGCATGATCATTGCATGATCCAATGGCTGGAAGTTGAAGCGAGACAAATTCAGACTGAGAATAAGGTGTACATTTTTAATAGTGAATAATTAACTTATTGAGGGTCATAGTGGATTCCTTGTCACTGACCACTTTTAAATCAAGATGGGATCTTTTTCTAAAACACATGCTCTAGAAATTATTTGGGGGAAGTTATATGGGAGGTCACCCTAGATGACTGCAATAGACCCAGTTGGCCTTGGAATCTATGAAGGTATGACTGGGAATTGACCAGTATACACTGTTTTTGGCTACTTAACTGCAGTAACTCCTTACTTAAAGTCGTCCCGGCTAACATTGTTTCGTTGTTACGTTGCTGATCAATTAGAGAACATGCTCATTTAAAGTTGGGCAGTGCTCCCTTATAATGTTGTTTGGCAGCTGCCTGCTTTGTCCACTGTTTGCAGGAAGAGCAGTCCATTGGAGCTAGCTGGTGGGGGCTTGGAACCAGGGTGGGCCGGCAGCCCCCCTATCAGCTCCCCACTCCCCTAAGTTCCCTGTGTGGCAGCCGCCCAGCAGGCTATCAATTGCCGGGCAGTTCAGCTGTCCCGCCCCCCACTGCCATGTGCTGCTCCTGTCCTCTGCCTTGGAGCTGCTCCTGGGAGGGGAAGGTGTGTGGGGGGGGCTAATGTCAGGGGTGTCCCCCTGCTCCTGCCCCCCACTTACCCCATCTCTATAGAGCTGGAGGGGCGGGGGGGTAACAGGACAGGGCTCAGGATGGAGGGAGCTTGCTGGCAGCAGCAGCTGCTGTCTCAACTTGCTGATCTACTTAAAAAGGCAACATACTTAAAGTGGAGTTAGTGTCCTTAAAGGGGCAGTGCGCATCTGTCACACACAGACACAGCGTGTCTCTCTGTCTCCCGTGCTGTTGCTGTCTCCTGTGCTGTCTCCCCTCCCTCCATTTGTGCTGCCTTGTAAAGTGTGAGGCCAGATTAACAACAGTGTGTTAACCCTTGAGGGCTCAGCCAAGTGCTAGTTCATCATTTAGCAGTAAGGCATTCTCTGGGAAATAGTCCACCCTCTGACTTTACCTCCTCAACCAAGCTTCACAATCATCATTGCTGTGTACAGTATTACATTGTTTAAAACTTATTTTGTGTGTGTGTGTGTGTTGTTTTTATATATATATATATATATATACATACATACATACATACACACACACACACACACACACACACACACACACACACACACACACACACATCTCTCTTGTCTGGTGAACAAAATTTCCCTGGAACCTAATCTCCCCCCCCCCCTCCCCCCATTTACATTAATTCTTATGGGGAAATTGGATTCGCTTAACATGGTTTTGCTTAGTCGCATTTTTCAGGAATATGACTACAACGTTAAGCGAGGAATTACTGTAACGGGAAAAGAGAATGCTGTCATAGTATGAGCTGGTTTTGGACCCTAATAAATGGTTCCCTGATCAGGTCTTTCTCTAGTGGGGTATATTAGAGGTGGAGCTCTTTGTCTCTAATTATAAAAAGCAGCTCCTGCAGCCACTGAAGGTTCACGTGCTGTAACTCTCACATTGTTTGTGAGGGAAAGCTCTCATAACTTTCCACTAGTCCTCTTAGAAGCAAGGACTGTGACAGTTCTGGAGACTGACCATGTGTTAACTTTGTAGTAGGCATGGATCAAGTTGCCTGAATTTTGACTTATTTTCCATTAGTACTTTTTAATGTAACACACAGTCCATTAATGTTTGCAGTGTAGCTGCTAAATCTTAACCTTTTGGAGTTTCTCAATGATGAAATTAACAGAGAACATTTTTCTTTTGAAATGAGCTTAGTGTTTATAAAGTTGCCAAATGGACAGTACTGTAAATTGAACCTGACTGCCCATTTGGGCGCAGCATAAATAGTGGCAACCCAAGCATGTTCACACTGTCCTGTCTTTTGGAGGAATTACGTTTATGCTCTGTTTGATTCTTAGTGCTTAGCTGTGTCTAAGATGCGGTTGACTGTTAATATTTTCTTTGATGTGGGCACCTGTCCCCTGGGAATTGTAGTTGACACCTACTCACTTGACATAAGCTCCTAAGTAGCTATTAGAATGCTTTTTTAACAGCTACCCGGGATGTTTCAAGCATGGTGTAGAGATGAAAGACTCCATTCCCAAGAATTCATCAGTCTTCTAGACCGACTTATCTTTATACTTTCTAGAGTTTATTTAAATGTTAATTATTCCAAATGTGATTTTTTTTTTCTTGGTTTCAGAAAGAACTCTCTGGGCACAAGAATATTGTAGGCTATTTGGATTGTGCTGTTAATTCTGTTAGTGACAATGTGTGGGAGGTGCTCATCTTAATGGAATTTTGTCGAGGTAAGTAAACTACTGTTGGATTTCTTATTTTTTATGAACATAAGTAAAGCATTCTTAAAGTTAGAGTCTAGGGTTATCTCCTAAGATGTGATGTGTATTTTGGCAAAGATCACATTTATTATCTTCCTAATTAAGGTCAAGACCACTGAAAACACCATCACACTTGATTTTGTTCTTAAGTGCTAGAAAGAATGAATCTGGGAATATTGAAAAGCTCATCCTACACTGCTTTATATCAAGGTCTGACCAGAAAAGAGGGAAAAAATTAAATGTTTAGATAAATATGTAAAGTGTCCCAGTTCCTTGTTCTCTCTAACAAATCTCAAAATGTATTTGTACATTGATTTGGGAATGAAGACTTTGCAAAACTGAATAACTTTTCAGTCATGAAACTGCTGCTCCAGATAATTAACTGTAAAGACTACATGCTGTCTCATCATCCTGATTCCTTAAATTGTTTTAAGTCAGTTTATTCGGTGGAGGGTGGAGGTCCAAATAATGGTGTCTTGGTGTATAACAATTCTTTTTGTTTTAGGCAATACAAGTGGCTTCAGAATCATTCCCTCTTTTTCAAATATCTAGTTTCTTAAATTTACTAGTATAGTTTGGGTTTTTCCCCTTTTTATATAGAAATTTATTCCGGTAGTTTAGCTCAAATTTTGGAAAGTGTTAGGATCCAGTTATGGCAAATTTGGAGAAATGCTTGGATTTCAAAGTAACTGTGTCTGCTTTATGTGAAAATAAAATGCTCTCCATCAGCCTGCGCATTAGGTGCTTAAAATGCTTCAGGTGCCTTCCTGTTAAGGGTATTTGGCCTTTGTCTGCGCTGCCAGTAGAAGCAGTGAGTGAGAGTAAAGTGCTTGTCAGTTGGCCTTCTGTGAACTGCCTGATGTGATATCCTTGGATAAATCAGATTCTGCCTTGTTGTAGCTTGTGTGTATTCTCACTGTTGCTCTGAGGCACTCTGTTGTGTGCTTCTGCAACCTTCTAGAAAGCTTTGCTCATTGGGAGCCATGTGAGTGCTGCCTCTATAGTGCTCAACATTTACAGCCTGAATTTACTTCATCTTCTCCTATTGACTGAGGATAAAGGGAATGTCTGCTGTACCCCTCAGATTTCCAGCTGCCTTTTCTCTTGTACTTAGTTTAGATAGATAACTATAGTTCTTAGATTTTTCTGCACCATTATGTACTTGGTTCTGGGGATGGTTTTATCACTGTGCTGATCACGTAGCCTAAGTCACAAGACTAAGAAAGCTCCTGCATTGTTCTGAAGCAGCTGTACAGAACTAAACCTCAAGGGATAACATAGGTGATGCAATTGTAGATATTGCTCTTGTTTTCCCTATTAAAAAGCATCTTTAGTTTAGGAGAGGGGGCACTGCTCTGAGAGCCAGAAGACCATGCTTTTCCACTAATACTTCTACTTTTCATATTGCTTAATGAACAAGACCTGATACCTTCCCCCTTCTTAAGGTAGGGTTTAATCACCTCTCCCATCTTATAAAACAGGGGTCGGCAACCTATGGCATGCGTGCCGATTTTTAATGGCACACTGGAGCCTGCCGGGACTCCAGCGTGCCATTAAAAATCCTGCCCAGCCCGGCCCGCTCTCCTCTGCCTTCCACTCCCCCCGCGGGGGCAGGGAGCAGAAGCATAGCCGTGCGCACAGGGTGGGCAAATGACCCCACTCTCCCGGCACGGCAAGTCGTGGGGTCCGCGCTCCTGGGCCGGAGCGCAGCAAGCTGCTGGCCCCTCCCAGTCCTTCTCCCCTCCCCTGGAGCTTTGCTGCCGCGCGCGCGCAGCGCTCTAGGGATAGGGGCTGCGCGCTCCCGTGGGGCAGTGTTTGGCTCCGCGGGGAGGGAAAGACGCTCCCCACTCATCCGGAGCCCTGCCACTGTGCGCGCAGAGCTCTGGGGGCCAAGGCTGTGCGCTCCCGCGGGGCAGCTTATCAGGCTCTGCTTGGAGCCTCATGGTAAGGGGTCTGGGGCCGGGGGAGTTGGGTAAGGGGTGGGCGTGGGGGCGGTCAGGGGACAGGGTGGGTTGGATGGGGGGATCTCTGGAGGGGGCAGTCAGGGAGCAGGGGGGGTTGGATGGGGCATGGGAGTCCCGGGGTCTGTCAGGAGGCGGGGGGTGGATAGGGGTCAGGGCAGTCAGGGGACAGGGAGCAAGGAGGGTCCGGGGGGGGGCAGTTAGGGTGGAGGGGTCTCTGGAGGCGGTGGTCAGGGGACAAGGAGCTGGGGGGTTGGGAGTTCTTAGGGGGGCAGTCACCCAGCCCTCTCCCCTGAGCCCTGCCCTCCCCACACACACACCCTGCCCTCTGCCCTGAGCCCCGCACACACCCCAGACTCCTGCCCTGAGCCCTGTACCTCCCTCATACACACCCAGCTCTCTGCTTGACTCCTTCATCCCACCCCCACAACCCTAGCCCTGACTCTGGCACCCCCACACATCCCCATCCCCCCCTGCCCTGACACCTGCACCGCCCCACTATCCCCAGCCCCCCCACACCCCATGCACCCGCCACATCCCCACCCCCACCTGGAGCACCAAACGGGAGCTCCTGCACCCACCCCCCCACATTCCCATCTGCACCCCTCGCATCAAATGGGAGCTGCCCAGGTAAGTGCCCCACACCTGAACCTCCTGCCCCAACCCTGAGCCCCCTCCCTTATTTTAGCTCCTGGCCCGACCCTTCACCCCCAGCCCTGTGCTCAGTGCACTGCCACCC